TTATTTTAATTATACCCTATCCATAATTAATTTTCTGTGAAATAACAAAACCCTTAAAAAGAAATAACTTGTCACTCTTTGGTTCATCTGAACACAAAGATTTACAAGGAAACAAACGTTTTATAGAGATCCCTTTATTTTAGTTGCTAGGTTCCCGCGGTAAGTAAAAGATAACTCTTCGAAATGAATCATGAAACTAAAGCAGTGTGCTGATCTTTGGTAGCTCAAAAAAATTAAAATGCGCATGATGATATCTAAAAAGAGATGCAGAATAAAAGCGTTATAACTGGAATGGATTTAAAAACTGCCAAAACAATTTCCCATTATTGAAATAAGCCAATGAAAAGCACAAAGTATGAGCAACTCGGATGCAAGGTCGAAGACAAAATAGGCCATTGAAAGGGATTCAGAGTTGAGCCATCGAAAGAGACTATAGCCGATGAAATTTTTTTGTAATTGATTTTTTTTTTATTTCAAAGAAAGAGGTTATTATCGATTACTATTTGATTTAAATCAATATTTTCTTAAGTTTTTTTGTGACTGGTAACAAAACCGTAATATTATTGATTATTAACGCTCGAAACTGGAGTGGGGTAAACATGGGAAAGGAGCACAATGACAGGAGGGAGGTAGGTTGGATAAGGGAAGATGAGATTAAAAGTCAGCAGAAATTGAAAATTCAAACATGTACCGAAAAAATGCAAAAAGAAACATATTGAAAACAAGATTAAAATTTTCGAAAGTGCGTCTCAATTGTGCACTTTTTTACTCTAACGTGTGTTAAGTCAAAAATCAACTGTCAGCTTTTGAAATGCACTGTTATATATATAGATCGACTATGAAAACCTATTATCATTGATTTTGTCCATGAAAACTTAGTGCGAGCAAGTTAACAGGCCGATTCCCCATTTTTTTGCTACAGTATTAAAAATGTTTTACATAATTATTGCAATTTTTTGCTGGCACATTAAAAGTCATTAAACACTAGCCATTTCACGGTTTTTGCTACGAAAACAAGCAACACGCATTTCAGCGCAGCAGAGTTTTTTTATCTCAAAGTTTTTAGTTTTTATTTTATGTTCTTTTCCTTTATTTTTCAGAACTTGAAGCTTACTCATTATAATATCAATCCAGTTATCTTAACTTATAGTTATCACTTAGATCGTCACTTAGGTTTTTAGTTTAGATCAATGCGACATTAAGGCAAGGCTACCGCGATACCGCGAGTCATTTCCAGATTACACCGCTCTAATGTTTGGACTAAACTGTGTCCAATTTCCAGACTATCGCAATCAAAACTTGACATTGTCCGCGACTCTTAAAAACTGTTCAGTCTGTGAAACTTTTGGTCGCGGAAATACATCGCCTAGATTTGGAAAGTCCAGACTCGGGCAGTATCGCAACCAATCACAAAACTTAACTCAATTTGAAAGTGTTTATTTTTAAGTAAGTTTTTTAATATTAAAACTTTTCAATGTTTCCACACCCCGCTTAGCAATCGCTTTCGTCTAAGACAGTCTGAGAGTTTTCAAACGTGTCTGCCTACTGATAACAATGGAAAAAAGTCTACTTGCTGGTTGCGACACAATCGTATCTATTTATCAAGCAATTTTTGTTGTGATTTGAACTAATTACCTGAAAGCGCTGTATAAAAACAGTGTGCGGTCAATGTGCATTACTACCTTCATCTTGCTCAGGTCAAGAAGCATATAAATTTGCTATATTGCATTCTGATTTGTCGAAATATGAGCGAGGGAATAGCTAAATAATAGTCTGTTTTTTAACAGACATAAACACAAAACAGTCTAAGCAGAAAAATAATGACCACTGCAGTCGCACCAGTGTAACGTGTTTCAAGCTTGCCAACAGAGAGTAAGATTCTATACCAAAGTTAAAGCCGGATATCGCGCCCACCGCCTGCCATAAATTGAGAGTCGGACTGTTTTCTTTGATCAATTGACAGTCCGAATTCATTTACATAATTGTTGATCAGTATGAAAGTACCGATAGGTTTTATGCTCGTTGCTGCGCATGAAAAGATGTTCTGACCCAAAATTTAACCATCGAAAAGCTGAATATGGAAAACAAAATACTGATAGGGCAATGTCAAATACGTTGTCTGAAAAAAAAATTGATTACGCGTGTTCATGTCAGCACTGCTATTTTGAAGCAGACATGGGAGCAATATGTAGAAAAAGCCAGCATCGTTAGTAGAACAAGTTTTTAGCGAATGAAAAAACACATTTGAGACTTATAGACCCATGTTTTGAAAAACATGCTGCCACTCAATTGTAAAAACTGTATGTCTTTGGAAACTGTCTCTAAAAACTTAAAATGGACTGCTTCATTTTGCAAAACATACGCTCGTTTTCAGAAAAAAAAGATAAAAAAGTGCAAGTTTTGGTTCAAAGTTTATAGAAATATCAATTGTAATTTGCTCAACTGAAACTTGGTTGAACAGTAACCATGACAGTATTTTTTTACTCTCTAGGGCTATAAGGAGATTGAAAAAGCTGCGGGAAAAAGGGAAGCGTGGCTGGTGTATTTAGCAGTCTGAACACCAAGGTGCTTTGAACAAAACAGCAGAATGGTTAAAAAACAAGAAGCGTACATTAAACGCAGATAAAAACCTAAACCCTAATAAGTAGCAAAAGTAACTTGAAAAAATTAAAATCCCAGAATGTTAAATTGAAAGATCACTCAATTGAAAAGAAAACATATATTTTTTTGTTATCTTAGTTTCCAGTTAGATGAACAGCTGAGTTTTGATGACGTTCTCGGTAAAAAGTCACAAATTCTTGTGGAGTTCTTTTATGCTATGAAAATGTTTCCCGACCAAGCACCTTGAAACAGCCTACAAAAGTTTGCGCATTCTCTGTTTCATATTGGCGTTCTGGCTTACGCATCCACAAAAAAAACGCAATAGATTTTCTGGATCAAAAATGAAGAACTCAATTCAAAATTATTTTAGGAGCAGGTAAAAACCAATCAACTCAAAATAAAACATCAAACAACCTTTTTTCTAAGAGGCTCCATGTGTATCAGCTACTGAAAACAGTGTCTAAAACTTAAAGAAGAGAAAACCCAATTCATGTTTTGAACGAGCTCATTACGGATAATGAAGAGAACAACTTTTTAAAGTTTAAAGTTCAATAATCGCAGTGCAATAAGAGTTTTAGAAAACAGTGTACGCAAAAACTCAATGGAGTCAATTGCTGTTAGACTAAGAAAAGCGTTAACAACTCTACCAAGTTATCATCCTACTCTTCTGAAAAACTGAAAAAATTGTTTCTCTTAGCTTGTGAATATTTTCAATCACAATATAGGGAACTGCTCCATTTTAAATAATGCAGAGCTTTTGAGAAATTATTTTGTTTAGTTAAATAAGATCCAAGACTTTGTCCTAATTTTTCAATAAAGGTTCTATATCTCGTTTGTAGGCAGAAATCCCTTAAAACTGATTTTTAAGTACAACTAATTTCAGGTCAAACATTGATCACTTAATTCTCACCCACTATCAAAAGTGTACTAAATGAGTTTACGCTCTGAAACACCTGTGAACGGACCTGTGGGTCCAAAGGTGTTCTTTCGAGCAACAAAATTGTTAGTGGATTTTGTAAAATTGTTTTATGAAATTTCTAACAAGGGAGCTGCTCAAAAATATATTATCATAATTGAAATCGAAAGTATAAAACTACTAAGCAAAAATGAAACATACACTCTTTATATCTATGAATGGAATGTTTTTTTAAAATGAAAATATTTAATCGAATTCTAAGAAGCACTTGAATCAGTCAAACCTTTTCTTTAATACAAGCAAAAGTGCCTCCGGCTGATGATAGATTTTAACGGATAACTGACTCGGAGCAGTTTGTTTTTTCTCAGTTTTTACTGCAATTTGTTTTTCCCATAGGATTAATCATTTGTTTCCATGAACTGTTCCCAATTCAATTTCTTATAAGAATGATACATTTTAATTCATTTTTTGGTAAGGATCTTACATCGTAATTCGTTTTTTTTTGTGAATCTTACATAGTAATTTGTTTTCTTACACGATAAATATATGATACAAGATAAATGTTATGGCTCACAAGATTCTAAAAAGATTCTTATAAAACTTTGAACTTTTTTAACACCTGAACAACAAGTCACTGGATGGGGTTATGGTGAGATTGAGTTTTTGCCCAATTTTTGGTACAGCTTCTAGGGGTTCCGAGTCAAGTGAACATCCTTCTCCCTAAAAATACCAAGTCCAAACTTTGATTCCCGCTATTTATATTAAATCAGTTCTACTGAGTGTAAATTATCTGTCCAGTAAATTAAAAGTAAATTGAATCCAGTTTATAAAAAAAAATTCAGTCAAGTTTTCATCCAGCTGGCACAAATCAATTTGACATGCTATCCTCAATAAATTTTAGACATGAGCATCTCAACTTGGTTCAACTTGGAGTTTTCAGTCAATCAGAGCTTATAAACGTTTGAAAAATTTCGAGGATCTTGTTGATTATCCCCTTACCCTAAAATATTCGTAAATGCTTAACAGTTTAATTTTTTTTTATAGGGGCCGATTAGTTCCACGGTACCGTAGGGGGGATAGTTAACAAGATCGAACTTCGGTTTTTCAGCTTTTTTCTGCAGTTTTCTACAACATAAACTGGCTTCACGTTGAATGAGCACCAGCATTTTGTCGGCCGGGGGAAAACACAATTTTGTTATTTCACGATTTGCTCTTCGGCCTAATGAAGGCCCCGTAAAGATGCTTCCTTTGAAGTTTAAAAGAATCCCTTTATCCGCGAAACCAAAACACGGTTCTAAATCTTGTTTACAATCATACCAAAAGTAGCCGAAGATATCTGGGAAGAGTGTTTATTTTCACTCTCGTTTAATTCGTTTGTTAGTCTTGAGTTGTTTACTTAGGAGTATGACCATTAAAAATAATATACACGCGACGATCATGAAATTTCAACAAATTTCATAAAATGTAGCCGACAATCTTTGTTGGTACGACAAAAGTGAAGGAATACTGAAAGATAACTAGCCTTTAAAACGTCGGTTAGTTATAACTAATAACTAATTCCTCCCAATTCAACCCAATAATACAATCTACTTGTACCTAATTCAGTCCAACCAGGTGTGGTGGGTTTAAAACAGACCGGAAAAATCAGGTATGAGGTCGTTTTTACTTACTTACTTTATAATGTTCAAAAGCTGAAGAAATAATGCAATCACAGAATACAGTCTTAAGTCTTATGCAGTACTCTGATTTTGGGGCTAATTCCAATTTTCACGGCTGGTCTTTTGCCTGCCAATAGTGAATTATTACTTTGAATCCTGCGATTTGCAGCATTTCGATTGTATTGAGAGACAATCCGCAACAGTAGCAGTTTAGCCTCATTATCATATTTAGATAGTTGAACACTTTTTCCGACACTAAATTGTTGGCGCGTCGACACAGAATAAAAGAATAAGCAAATGAAATACACTTCACAACTGCGCACAACACAGCTATACATCACAGAGATTACTTTTTCCCTGCATATTTCTGCTACCGCCCTTTTCAGGTAAGTTTCTATCGCTGCAGATTAAGGAGCTAAATCAAAAATGAGATACTTAATTGTTCCGGCTTTCGAAGAAAGTGACGGAACATTCATGCATGGGGTGGTTTTTTCCACTCAAATTTAGAAATTTTACCACCCGCACTGACAAAAAATGGTTTCGAATCGATTTAAATTGATTTTAAATCGATTTTAAATCGATCCAAATCGATCAACAATGTACATTTTACCAACTTAAATGGATTTTAAATCAATTTAAATCGATCTTTTTTGAAACTTTTGGATCGATTTAAGTGTCTTAAAAATCGATTTAAATAGATATGGATGGATTTTCAGACTCACTAAAACCAATTTTTTTGCTTACACGGCAAAAAAAACATACCCTTTTTCTCGATTTATTATTTAAATTTTTTATTCTCGATTATTTAAATATAAATACTTGTGCCAGATGTTATAGAATTCAATAAAATTATCCACATGAATCAGATTTTAAGTTGTAAATCAGATTTTTGTAAATCAGATTTTTGTAAATTATTGTAAATCAGATTTTGCAAAATCTTATGTAACAAACAAGAAAAGGGTCAGAATAACTTAAAATTTGATTCCATTAATATGCAATTAAATCATAAAAAATTATGAAAATAAACCAGATTTCGGGCAAAACTTATAAAACGAAGGGTCAATAAAGATCAGTTTTTGAAATCATAGAATTTCAAGAAAAAAGTTCAAGAAAATCATAGAATAATATCAATATTTTGGTCTTTTTATTTGGTCTTCTTTATGCTACAATACGCTATGGATGTAAAATGGAAACTGATAGGCAATGAACAAATACAATAAAATTCAAAACTGATTTAAATCGGTTTTATTCACCTTAAAAATAAAAACAAATTATGACTGGAAAAAATGCAATTAAGCCGATTTAAAATCGATTTGGATCAATTTTTTTAGCTGGGATTTCCAAATCAATCTTTATCTTTTAAAAATAATCTTCGTACTTTTTTCATGCTAAAATCGATCTAAAATTAATCAACGTATTTTTTCATACTAAAGTCGATCTAAATTTAATCAACGTACTGGAAGATATTGTTGTATTGATCTGAAAAATATTTAAAATAGTCACTTTTGATTATTTAAAGGTTATGATGGTCTGAAAACTGCTTATTTGGTAATTTTGAAATAATTAACCTGCAACTTATTGTGTTCTTATAACAATCGTAAGCGTTGAATTAAACCATTCCAAAATGAAATGACGCCAGCTTTTTAATTTTTTGTAAAAACCGCACAATTACAATTTTCAGCCTTCGACTTCTGTAGTAAAAAGTATATTCGAAATTAAGATTTTGTTTTGACGCTGTTTTCTAAGCCTCAGACCAGGGGGTTTCAAAATTTATTTGGCAAATGAAAATGATTTTTCAATCTTAAAATAAATAATTGAATTTTATAAAAGTTATAAAAAATGAGTAATTGAAACAATTGCAATAAATTGCGAGTCAGTGAACTTCAGGGTTGTTTTCCACTCGATCGATGATGTCTTCATCCCAAAATCGATCACTGACTTTGAGGAAAAGTTGACGACACTCTATGTTCATTGGCAATAAGTTCTAGCGGTATCGTAGTAAGCATATCCGACACTGCTAAAGAATCTTTCGACTTGGAATTTGTGAGAGGAACATATAGAAAATATTTTCCATGTTTTCATTGAAAGTTGTTAACGCAAACTCAATATCCAAATGATCCAAATGATCCCAAATGGCAAAACGTCGAAGAGACCGAAAGTTAAAAACTAATTTTTTTTTTTGCAAAATCTAGCTTTTTCAAACTATGGACTTTTACCGAAAGTGTAATATATGCATTTATTCAGAAAAACCATAGCTATCGTCAATCTAAGAGTTTTAGTTTCTTAGACTTTTTAAATTCTTTTGTTCAAATTTGAACGTGAAGGTTTGCAATTAATTGAATTCTCTAAAACCAATTATCGTATTAATTGAACTTTGAAAAGTTAGGTTTTTACCCAAATATTGGCAATCAATTTTCACTCAATTTATTTTTGAACTTCCCTGCATCAGACTACATTCGGCTTTCTTAACAACCGCTTAAGACACTGTTTCTTGCACCATTTCGTCTCGGCGTTTCGATAAGATTTCGTTTCGTCGTTGTTTTTTTTAGCATCTAACGAATTTCGGCTTTCTAAATAACCGTTTTAGACACCGTTTCTTGTACCATCTGGGTATCATCCTGGCACTAGGATGAAATCTAAAATAATTGATTTATTATTTTTATATATAATAAACTATTTTATTATATATAAAAATAATTTTTATATTGTTTTTATAATGTTAATTAGGTCTGAAAACTGTTATTCGGACCAATTTGAGATAAAAATGCATGCAAAGTTTCCAATCCAGTTTTCTAACATAACTCGGGTTTTTTATACAGCTTACAACTTATTCTGAAGTGAATTGTTCCTAGCCAGTTGGTCGGAATGAGGTGAAATTAAACAAAATATATAACTTTACTGCATGATACAGTGTGTGGAGACAGATATCAGTTTTGAGCCAAAAATTTTTCTTAATTTTTGTTCGTTTTTTGAATTGAATCTATTTATTACATGAAAAATTAGTCGTTTCTATGAGAATTCATTCTTGTTGCTGACTTAGCTAAAACAATTTTCAACAAAGCTGCTTGCATCGGAGCAAATCACTGGAGGCTCCGACTGCCTTTTTAAGCATTCGCAATAAGTTTTTTTTTCAAAAATCCGAAATCGAATTTTTTGAAAGAAATTAAGAATGCTCGTATCATGGCAAAATCTTGTTTCTTCCGAGTGCATTTTAAATTCTTTGGAGTAGTTTAAAAAATCATAATTGAGGAAATTTTACAAATAAATGATGAAATTTCAACAAAAAAAAATCAATTTCAAAATTTTTTTGAACATTATTGAACCACGCGCTATGTTAAGTACAAAGTGATATATTTTACAGATGTTAAAGTCTTAAATAGACCAAATAGCATGCCTCAATCTAATTTTTTAAAAGGGAATGATTTCTAAAAGGGATTAAATCTCCGCTTACGCATTAATGGCACGAAGTATATTGCGCGGTTGTTGTCCCAAATCGGCCAAATTGGCAACTTTTAAACTTTGGCCCACAACACTATGAAAACAAAACACAGGTAAAATATCTTCTTATTTTGAGCAGAAGACATCAATACCTTTCGAATGATATTTAGAAAAATTTCCGCCAAAAGTTGCTAGTTAAAAAGTCAAAAATTGTCTGGAGAAAAAATCACACGGAACACAAATATTCTGTCTTTTCTTCGAAAACAGTCGGGAAAATAACAGTAATGTTTAAATTTTTGTGTGAAATATTCCCCAAACACAGTGTCAATGTATCTTTGAAAGTTGATCCGTTTAGTAAGAAAAAATTTGAGCAGCAAGGGTGCCTAACTTGAATTCGGAATGATTTATTTGGGGTATGGTGATTGGCATGAGTGCCGGTAAGCATGCGCAACTAAAAATGTGACTCTCATATTTAATTTTTTTTCAGCTCTAATTTCAAACGTTTGTTGTTTCCAACTTTCGAAGAAAACGGAATAATTATGCTCGGTGTGGTTTTTTATTAAGTCAATTTTCGCCAATCGAAATAACAGTTTTCAGCAAAAATTTTTGCATACCTTTTTAAAGATATCGACTTCCTGAGTTCAAGTTCAAAAAAATATATATTTCTCCTCTGATTATGTTTTGTAAATTTCTGGGTGTTTGAAAATCGTTCTGGACTAAATTATGCGCGCTTTGAAGAATTGATTCATATTGCTGAGAGCGTAACGCGAGTTATTTGTGCGTGACGAATTATCCCGCGCAACAAAGTTGTTCCAAATTGAATTGAGGCAAGCTTATTGGATCGGTCGTTTCAATTTCATATGGTTCAACATTTCACACTTTGATATTGTCCAAACTTTATAGGTTTTCAACATTTTTTTCCCTAAAAACTATTCGATATGAGCTAAGGGACAGTCGGAATATTCAGGGCTTTGCCCTGATATACAAACAGTCTTGTTCTACCTAGCTCCGTCGTGTTTACATTTTACTGGAGTGATTGAGTTATATCGGGAAATAAAACTGGCGAATGGTTATCTGCAAGCATGCTAACAGGCCGAGTTTGATATAGTTCGCTCCACACACGCAACGAGTTAGCAGAAAATTGCTTGTCAAAGTCGCGCATAGTTGATCTCAAATTCGTCAAGTTACCCGCACCGGAGTTCTATGGATAACAAACGATAAAAATGGAAAACTGTTGACTAAAATGTTGTCATTATAATCCATTTTTCTTGCGAATTTAAACCACGAAATCGATTATGTTGTCATTATAATCAATTATTTGCGTAAAAACACAGTCCATTAAAATCCATTGAAATGGATTTTAATCCATTTAAAATCCATTATTTTTGATTATAACGGATTATAATCATTACATTTTTTGCAAAATCTTTTGCAAAACATACAACATTTTTGCGTTACTCATGGCCTACTCGCAATCTAAACCTACTCGAATACAACGCCCCCCCCCCACTTTGACACCATCCGCATTTGACCAAGCCCCCTCACCCCACTC